AAATTTGATATAAAAGATACAAACAAACAGACGACACCTTTATATCTAATTTTTTCAAGGTCCACTAGTTTTCACAACTTTTTATGAAAAAACCCATCACTTAAATGGTGAAGATTATTGTAGGGAAAATAAACAAATTATATTATTTCAACATTACTCTGACTTGATCCGAAAGTTCTTACAAAAATATTTTACTTTTCATTTCTATCGAGTACCTGTGGTAATTTTGACTGAAAGTTCGTCTTCCGAGAGTAAAGGCAAGTTATTTGGACTAAAGTATGAAGATAGGACAAAACATGCCTTAATAAGATGTTGCTGTTTTTATAATTTCACAGCATAAAAATTGGCACATAGGCATAACTTTAGGTAAGATATTTTATTTATTATTTTACATTTTATTACAGAGAGCGCCTCAAATTGGTCATACCTTTTTTGACGAAACTTTTTTGTAATTTTGATTAGAAAACATGATATAAATATAATTTTTATGTAAAATTGTTATACCTGTTTAAACTTAATAATTTCATTTCAGGTTATTACTGTCACTGTGGTCCAACTGTTAGTAAAAACAAAATAAAGTCTTCCTAAAGACTCCAATAATAGTCTATCCTATCTTCCATGATATCAATCTTCCATAGCTTTAATTTTAATATTGTATCTATTACTCTATTCTTCGCTAAAATCACCTAGGTTTTCTGGAAATCGATCTAATTGGTTTTGGAGGAAGTGAACTTTTATGCTTATATTACAACCGAGTATATTAAAGTTGGGAATCCTAGTTTCCACTAATTCTATGTAATTCTCTGCCTTATGATTCCCAAAGAAATTTTGTACCACTTCAGCAAATTAACAATAAGAATTAGATTAAATTTCTTTCATTGATACAGTAAATTGTGGAGTTTTTATGTTGCTTTATCCGAGGGCCATCAAATGATTCGTTTTAAATAGCCAAAACAAAATCCAGCTCGATTTAAAGCCTTTACAAATTGCTTCAAAAGTCTTAACTTGATAATGTAACGGCGCTTCACCTTAGCTTTTATCAAAATTATGGAAGACACTGGATTGGTCGCTTGGATCTACACCCAAGTAGTTTAGATTTTTTCTTTTGGGGTCATTTAAAGTCTCTAGTTTATAAAAC